TTTGCCAGTCCAAACCCCCTCCTCCCAGGCAGTAACTGTAGACTAAACCCCATAGCCCCAAACACGCATCCCCTCTCCCAGAACAGGACTACAGACTACTTTCCCCACAGCCCCCTTTCTGCTGCCAACTTCCTGGCTTTATTAACCCGGCCCAGCTCCTCCCCCAGCAGGACTTCATCAGCAATTAGGCTTTAGCAGTCCCTGGCTTTCCTCCAGAAGCAACTTAATTGGCCTAATTTACCCCTTCAGGCTTTGTGTGTGGAGGACACCCCCTCACAAAGGGATAGGAACCTTTCTTTCTTTCTTTCTTTCTTTCTTTCTTTCTTTCTTTCTTAATAAAAGCTGAGTTTCTCAAGTGATCACATGATTCCAGCAGCTGGGGAGTTAAGGAAAATACTGTGACACTCAACATGGAAATGGCTTTGCTCTTTCTCTTTTACAGAGCATGGGGAAGTGCCAAAGTCAGAAGAAGCAGGAATATCAGAGGCTTTGAATATCCCCCTGGAAAATGACCACACAGATAATGGATACTGCCCCTCAGTTTTATTTTGATCTTTTTTTCCTTCCCATTGCTTTGGTCAAAGTCCAAGCACTGTAGAATGATTTAGATCTGCTATTCCTGTGTGAGAAATAAAAACTAAACACTTACACCATCGTCTACCATCACTGGTATTTTGCCTACCTAGGAATACTGGGGAAATCTGTTCATTCCCCTCCCCCTCCCCAGATATTATACCTCTAAAACTCAGCAGCTGCGTGCTCAGGACTATACCACAGACCTTGGGGATTCTCCTCCAGCCCCCTGCCCTGACCCGATTCCCTGTGCTGCTCTTCCCCAGCAGCCCCTACTCCCGCGGAAGGCCAGAGGTTTCCATGGCAGAGCCCATTTCTGGATTGGGCCTTGCAATGTAGACTTAGATCTCAGGCAGCACTGAGGAGCCCGTTCTTTATCCAGCTTTCCAGCTGCTGCTGAATGGGTAACTACAGCTTGGCTTCACATGACTCTCCCAGACAGATCCAGGAGATGGGAGCTGCCTGAGTTTCATCGAATGCCCCCGGCAGCTGTGGTATTCCTCTCTAGCGGTAATGAATCTTAGGCCTTTCCGAAGTCTCATCACCTTGATCTATATTTTGTACTTTTCCTTCGTGGCCCCTCATCTGCTCCCCACAGCCCCTTCACGGACTATGAGGGTGGGAAGCTGTGTTGCACTTTCACCTTTCACTTGTCAAACTCACTCAGACACTCCCTCTTTAGCTGCTTTGCACAAACCGTGGACCTTGGACATGGCTTCCTGTGTCGACAGCGCTGGGAGCACACAGATAGGGCCAGGAAAAGGACAAGGAATGCACTGAAGGTGCAGGTGGAGCCATGCAGGGTTGGTCTGAGATCCCTCTACCCTGGCAGGACAAAGAGAGCTTAGTGGGCCCAGAGGATTGACTCCATACACCTAGCAGCCGAGTGATTAGCACGGATCAGGCCCTTGCATTTAGCTTAGCAGAACTATGGCCTGTTTCCACTGGGCATGGATCTTTTACTAAATTAATCAAAACATTTGCTGTGCGAAGAGACCTAGTTGTGCAAATGTGTTTCCTTGTATTCCCCTCTCTGTCCTCTTGCACTGCCAGCAACCGCTTTACAATCCCTTGGCTCCTGAACCCCAGTGTGACAATATCGCCACGGTGCTAGGGTGGAGCTGACGAGAAGTTCGAAAGCAGAAGCCAAGTGGCTGATCCTGATCATTTCCAACCGAAAGCTCCCACTTTGCCATCACATCACTGAGTGCGGTCGATGGCTAGCCACAGAATGCGGTTAGAAAGGAGCACACTTTCCCCTTGGCACACTGCCTTATTAATGGAGTCGCCTGGTGAGATAACTCTGGTACAATCATTGCTTATCTGTAAGAGTCAGATGCGTCAGGTTTCTTTCCACCTAGCCGAGGGTAATATTTTTGCTTTGACATGTGTGCCCAAAGCTGATGGGAGCTAGGATGTGCAATGCAGGACACAGTCTCTTGCATTCGCCATATAAGGGATCTTGTTTCACAAAACTCCTGTTGGAAATGCCAAGAAGCCATTACCTAGCACAGCCCTGATGTCAGACACCCCCTGAGAGCTTTCTGACGTCCCTGCAGATTGCAGAAGAACATGCTTCTCCTCTAGAGTGATTAAAATGAGAGTGCTACAGAGAGAGAGACATCACTAAAAACAACAGTCCCAGTCCTACCGGGCCATTTAGGTCCCACAGTGCCATGTGAGAGTTTAGCTGGCCTGGGCTGCATGGCTCAGGGGGTTGTACCAGGCTGGCACTAGTATAGGATACGGACCTGTTACCCTGAATCGTTGGTTCTCTCCAGCCCAGCTATGTGGTGACATAAAGATGCTCTAGCTGATGGCTGTTTGGCGACTTGTGTGACGTGTGTTAGTGGTGTGGTGCCATGTTGTTTGTGAACAGATGGCTCCGCAGAGCAGAGCCCAAGGCAGGATTGGCAAGGCTGCTGAGCTTCCTGAGAGAGGGGCTCCCTTCAGCTCAGACTGGGGGCCAAGCACACAGGGGGTGGGGGCAATGCGCTGGTCGTACTGTACCTGTGCAGAGCTGGAGAGACCTGGAGCAGTAGCGACACTGAACCCGCTATCAGCAAAATCTTGCTTTGAACAGGTGCTCTAGTGCGTTGCTGTGAGCAGTGCGTTCCCAGGCAGGAGCTAAGGTTACTAGGGGAGGAAAGTCCATGTCGCCAGGGAGCACTGGGCTGGGACCCTGGAGAGCAGCAGTCAGGCCCTTGCTCTGCCGCTGACATTCTCTCTGCCTCAGCATCCCAGCTGTGCCAGAGGGATGATGGTGCTTGACCTCAATGGGAGTTACGTGCCCCGTCTGCTTAGCCGCCTAGTGGGGTCTTCAGAAGCCCCTCTCTGCATCTTCAGTGTCTACAACCCTTTGGACTCTGGCCCATAGCCCTGTGCAGACAGACAGTACCCCGTGCAATGGGGCTGGAGTCCGGCTGGGTTGGACTATACTACAGAGCATCCCAGCCAGGCTGGGCTCACCCCTTAGCACTGAAATCCTCCGCCACTGGGCTTGGTGCAGGAGGCTGCAGTGCAAACCAGCCCCCCACAAGAGCAGCAGGAGAGAGGACTTCATGGCTGTAATTAAATTATTTACTAGTTCCATACCAGACAGTTTTAGGAAGTGACAGAACACATATTGTCCTTTAATTATCTGTCATGAGGAAGCCTTTTCTCTTAACTGTTACATTAATTATTAACAATGATTTACAGTCTGGCTCTAAAATGTTCACCTCCTATGTAGGTTGTGTAGACAACTGCTTTCACCTAGTCAGTAAACAGGATTATCTTGCTTTGGCTTGTTCTGACATGTCACTATAAAATCTTTGTTGATTTTCTGTTCAGAGAATCCTCATTAATCTAGCTGTAAATGCCGGGTCAAAGAAGAGTGATTGGGCTATAAGCAAACACAAAGAAAACAATGGCAAAGGCAAAGAGACTGGAGTTAGTCATTTGATATAGTTCAAAATTTCCCCCTCCTTAAAAGTCCCTTGTGAAAGCCAGCAGCATGTCCAGGATCAGACATCAGGAATTCATCTTCCCGTTATTTTACACCTCTCATGCTCCACAGCGGTCAGTGAGTGACACAAGCCATCAAAACTGGGGACAAGTGACCAAGAGCGGAATACCTTCCTTTGATCCAGCAGTATTTTGAATGATAAAGCCTGTCTTGCAGGATGTTCGCTCACTGTGTGAATTAAATAAGCCATTTTAAAAGACAGCGCACAGGGGAAAATGCCATCGCGGGCAACTATTAGCCCCTCCCCGGGCAACAGAAGGGTTTAGACCTTCACATCCGAGCACAGACCTCTGTGACTGGAGCTCAAGGAACAATTTGTTTCTAGTCTGGGTCACTCCCTATCGGGGGAGTGCACACACTTTGCCAGTGAAGTGCATACCCGACTGCTGCACAGAAGGAGGATGTAGGAGCTCAGGAATCCTGAGCTCTAGTCCTGGCTGTCTGGGAGAGGAGTGTGACCTAGTGGTTAGAACAGTGGAGGGTTAGAGGAAGGGTAGCCCAGCACATAGATTTGGCACAACCTTTCTGCCAGGTTGAGTGAGTGAGTCTTGCATGCTTCCCAGGGGAGACCTTTGTTCTACTAGCAAGGAGCCTTGTACCTCATTTGTTAAAGGGGGCGGGGAGGGCACAGGCGCCGACTTCTAGTGGTGCCGGAGGGTGCTCAACGCCCCTGTACCTCCTGCCCCACCCCCATTCCAACCCCTTCCCCAAATCCCCGCCCCGGCCCCGCCCCCTCCAGCCCTCATTCCAACCCCTTCCCCAAATCCCCGCCCCGGCCCCGCCCCCTCCAGCCCTCATTCCAACCCCTTCCCCAAATCCCCGCCCCGGCCCCGCCCCCTCCAGCCCTCATTCTAACCCCTTCCCCAAATCCCCACCCCAACTCCGCCCCCTCCAGCCCTCATTCTAACCCCTTCCCCAAATCCCCACCCCAACTCCGCCCCCTCCAGCCCTCATTCTAACCCCTTCCCCAAATCCCCGCCCCAACTCCGCCCCCTCCAGCCCTCATTCCAACCCCTTCCCCAAATCCCCGCCCCAACTCCGCCCCCTCCAGCCCTCATTCCAACCCCTTCCCCAAATCCCCACCCCAACTCCGCCCCCTCCAGCCCTCATTCCAACCCCTTCCCCAAATCCCCGCCCCGGCCCCGCCCCCTCCAGCCCTCATTCCAACCCCTTCCCCCAAATCCCCGCCCCGGCCCCGCCCCCTCCAGCCCTCATTCCAACCCCTTCCCCAAATCCCCGCCCCAACTCCGCCCCCTCCAGCCCTCATTCCAACCCCTTCCCCAAATCCCCGCCCCAACTCCGCCCCCTCCAGCCCTCATTCCAACCCCTTCCCCAATTCCCCCGCCCTGGCCCCGCCCCCTCCAGCCCTCATTCCAACCCCTTCCCCAAATCCCCACCCCAACTCCCCCCCTCCAGCCCTCATTCCAACCCCTTCCCCAAATCCCCGCCCCGCCCCGCCCCCTCCAGCCCTCATTCCAACCCCTTCCCCAAATCCCCGCCCCGGCCCCGCCTCTGCCCCTGAGTGCACCACGTTCCCGCTCCTCCCCCTCCCTCCTGGAGCTGGCTACAGCTGTTTAGCAGCGGCCAGGGCTGGGAGGTAGGCGGAGGAGCGGGGACGCGGCGCACTGTGGGGGGGAGGAGGTGGAGGCGGTGGAGGAGGAGGTGAGGTGGGGCGGGGCGGAGAGCTTGGCTGGCAGAGCACCCACTAATTTTTCCCTATGGGTGCTCCAGCCCCGGAGCACCCATGGAGTCGGCACCTATGGGGGAGCAGAAGATACTTAACTGCGTGCTGAGTTATGGTGTGAAGCCTTGCTCACTAATAAGGACTTTGAAACACACAGCAGTCAGCAGAGGTGAGACCAGAATGGTCTCCAGGCCTGAGGGTATTTGGATGGGATGTCCGCTGAGTGCTAATGGACTTGGTGGAACAGACTGATTCTATTCATAGGAGGCATGTCCCACAGAATCTGAGATCTCTGAGAGCTCTGAATAAACACACAATACCTGCTGCCAATTTTTATGCTGATAAAATACCACAACGTGTTCATGTCATTAGTCAAGATGTTCCTTCACTGTAATTTAAAACTTTATATGCAATTGCTTTAGGAACTGCAAGAAAAATATCTGTAGCAGTTAGTTCAAACGCCTTTCCCAAGACGTTGTTTGTAAAGGTGTATGTTATTTTGTAGAAAAAATATATTTTTGTTAATAACTAACAACTGCAATGTTGCCAGTTGTGATTTCATTATGAGAACAGTGAGACTGGATGTTCTTCATCAAGCACCAGCTCCTTAAGTCATTTTATTTTCTGAAAATCACATTCTTGTTTTTTTAAAGTAAGTTTCTCGCCCTATGGTTGTAGAGAAAAGCTTGAACCCAGGGCCCCAATGTACACTGCAGCTTCCAAAACCAGACGGCAAATAGCAAGAACCCAGATTTCTTTTTTTTTTTTAAATCTCTTGATTTTCATCTGGTCCCCTGATTCTCAGCACCTGAGTTCGGCACGGCTTCCGCTAGCAGTGCCCAGGGCTGCGGGGCACGTTCACCACAGCACAGGCTCCACACCACGCGCAGCAGCTTGGAGCCGGAGCAGTGCACAGGCCCTACCATGGCATCAAGGAGACTGACACGGCACATCATCGCTCTGTATGGGCACCTCGGCATGGGTGAGCGCCAGCCTCTGACTGGGGCAGGTCAGGGGAACTGCAGCCACATACTGCTCTGCCTGCCGGCACTAAATGGCAGGAAATCTTGGACTCGGGAACGATTCCTAGCCCTGGCGTTATGCTGGTGGCAGGAGGGGAGTGTGGGCTGGGCACAGATGGGGCAGAGTGCTCAGGGCCATGATGCACTGTATCTGGGGGCTCTGGTAGATGTGGGTGGCAGGGGGGATAGACTGGTGCACACGCCATTGCCTGGTGCCTTCACCAGCCTGCTCCTGGAGCAGGGCTAAGTGTGTGCACACGTGGAGCCCCCAGAGACCGATGGGTGGAGCAAGGAGACAGTGGGAGGAGCAGATCTGCACCAGGTCACTGGGGGCCTCCCAGCCCCAGATCACCAAAGCCCCAGGATGAGCCCAGGGCAGGAGACGGTGGTGGCACATGCAGGCTCCTGCATGTAGCTGTCTCTAGAGGACAGTGAGCGGGAGAGGTGCCCTGCAGCCCACCCACCCACCCCCACACGACAGCCCTGGCCAGAATCCAAACTGCAGGCAGCCCCCCAAAACCTGATCCCCTGCCTCCCGTCCCACTGAGCATGCAACCCCCTGACACCCCTGCTTAACCCACAGGCGCCTCCTCCTGCCTCCCCCGCCCCGTGTCTCTGTGCTCTCAGGGGTCATGCCACTCAAGCTAGGGAGCTCCAGCACAAGCAGTGACCAGCATAGGCTCCACCGCCCAGCCCAGCGCCTCCCCCTGAGAGCCCGCGGGCTGGAACCACTGCAGGAGGGCAGCAGAGAAGCCCCATCTCCTGAGACTTCAGCCCGCGGGGTGCAGCGAAGGAGGACACTGCACAGGGATGGACTCTTACTCTGCTGCCCTGCCCAAGACAGTGGGGCTGATAAAGGCACTAGGCTGGTGTCCAGCTTGGTGACAGCCGAAGGGTGGGACAGGCAGCTTAGGGGCACAGTGAAGCTCAGCAGCAGCTGCTGGAAATGGGAGGTGGAATGCACATGGGCACACACACATACACATGCACACCCCCCGGCCAAGATTCTCAAAAGTGACTGGTGGTTTGGGGTGCCGCTCCCTGAGAGGCTTTGGCCTCCCCAGGTCTGAAACGAACTCTTGCTCTTCCCCGTGGAAGGAGGCTGGGGTTTGGAACCAGGCTACTGCTGCCTGCTCGCTAAGGTGGGTACATATGGACAGGGATTTACCATGCCCCCTCCATTCCTAGCACCTTTCATGGTACAGACCTGCTGAGAACACAGCTCCCATAATCCTAACTGCTGGAACGGTCCACTCAAGTCTTGCTGCCCAGTTCCCTCCCACACAAGGGCTTGGCCCTTCCTGGGGCAAACAAGGGCAGCGGAAGGACTGGGCTGAGAGAGGCTTGTTTGAGGACATGCAGACAGCCTTTGCCACAGTAAAATCCCACAGCAGAAATACTTCCTGACAGAACACTTTCTATACATCCGGCTGGACACACTGGCTGCTCCAGAACAGCCCGGCTCCCTTCTGAATTAACTGCTGGGGGGGAGAGGGGTGTCTGCAGCCTGTGTGCAGTCTGGGGGTGCTTTGGTACTACTCATGTCACATGGCACGCAAGGAAGGAAGTAAAAAGAAAAGGAGGACTTGTGGCACCTTAGAGACGAACCAATTTATTTGAGCATGAGCTTTCGTGAGCTACAGCTCACTTCATCGGATGCAAGCTGTAGCTCACGAAAGCTCATGCTGAAATAAATTGGTTAGACTCTAAGGTGCCACGAGTCCTCCTGTTCTTTTTGCGAATACAGACTAACACGGCTGCTACTCTGAAAGGAAGGAAGTGCCCTTCAAAATGTCTGTCTCTTGCAGTATTGCATAATACTGGTCAGCGCTATGAGACACCCACTCCAGCCTCTTGCTCTGAATTAGTGAATGCGTTTGGCACCCACGCCAGCAGCGACACCTCGTGGTAACACCAATAATTGTGATAGTAAGTCCCCAAGTTTGAGTTCATACAACTAAAACACCGTGTTTGCAACAACCTTGCAGTCGCTATTGGTACGACACAGCCATCCCTTAAAGAGCTACTCAGAGCACAGCTTGCCATAGTAATAAAAATATTGCTCGGGGATGCAGGAGTGAAATCAGGAAGGCCAAATCACACCTGGAGTTGCAGCTAGCAAGAGACGTTAAGAAAAGGAGGACTTGTGGCACCTTAGAGCGGAACCAATTTATTTGAGCGTAAGCTTTCGTGAGCTACAGCTCACTTCATCAGATGCATACTGTGGAAAGTGTAGAAGATCTTTTTATACACACAAAGCATGAAAAAATACCTCCCCCCACCCCACTCTCCTGCTGGTAATAGCTTATGTAAAGTGATCACTCTCCTTACAATTGTGGGGTGGGGGGAGAGAAAACCTTTTGTAGTGATAAACACCCATTTTTTCATGGTCTGTGGGTATAAAAACATCCTCACTGCATTTTCAACTTTTATGCATCCGATGAAGTGAGCTGTAGCTCACGAAAGCTTATGCTCAAATAAATTGGTTAGTCTCTAAGGTGCCACAAGTCCTCCTTTTCTTTTTGCGAATACAGACTAACATGGCTGTTACTCTGAAAAGAGATGTTAAGAGTAACAAGAAGGGTTTCTTCAGGTATGTTAGCAACAAGAAGACAGTCAAGGAAAGTGTGGGCCCCTTAATGAATGAGGGGAGGCAACCTAGGGACAGAGGATGTGGAAAAAGCTAATGTACTCAATGCTTTTTTTGCCTCTATCTTCACGAACAAGGTCAGCTCCCAGACTGCTGCACTGGGCAGCACAGCATGGGTAGGAGGTGACCAGCCCACTGTGGAGAAAGAAGTGGTTCAGGACTATTTAGAAAAGCTGGACGAGCACAAGTCCATGGGGCCGGATGTGCTGCATCCAAGAATGCTAAAGGAGTTGGCGGATGTGATTGCAGAGCCATTGGCCATTATCTTTGAAAACTCATGGCGATCCGGGGAAGTCCCGGACGACTGGAAAAAGGCTAATGTAGTGCCCATCTTTAAAAAAGGGAAGGAGGATCCTGGGAACTACAGGCCAATCACCCTCACCTAAGTCCCTGGAAAAATCATGGAGCAGGTCCTCAAGGAATCAATTTTGAAGCACTTAGAGGAGAGGAAAGTGATCAGGAACAGTCAGCATGGATTCACCAAGGGCAAGTCATGCCTGACTAATCTAATTGCCTTCTATGACGAGATAACTGGCTCTGTGGATGAAGGGAAAGCGGTGGACGTGTTGTTCCTTGACTTTAGCAAAGCTTTTGACACTGTCTCCCACAGTATTCTTGTCAGTAAGTTAAAGAAGTATGGGCTGGATGAATGGACTATAAGGTGGGTAGAAAGTTGGCTAGATTGTCGGGCTCAACGGGTAGTGATCAATGGCTCCATGTCTAGTTGGCAGCCGGTATCAAGTGGAGTGCCCCAAGGGTTGGTCCTCCGGCTGATTTTGTTCAATATCTTCATAAATGATCTGGAGGATGGTGTAGATTGCACCCTCAGCAAGTTTGCAGATGACACTAAACTGGGAGGAGAGGTAGATACACTGGAGGTTAGAGATAGGATACACAGGGACCTAGACAAATTAGAGGATTGGGCCAAAGGAAATCTGATGCGGTTCAACAAGGACAAGTGCAGAGTCCTGCACTTAGGACGGAAGAATCCCATGCACCGCTACAGACTAGGGACCGAATGGCTCGGCAGCAGTTCTGCAGAAAAGGACCTAGGGGTGACAGTGGACGAGAAGCTGGATATGAGTCAACAGTGTGCCCTTGTTGCCAAATAGGCCAATGGCATTTTGGGATGTATAAGTAGGGGCATTGCCAGCAGATCGAGGGACGTGATCGTTTCCCTCTATTTGACATTGGTGAGGCCTCATCTGGAGTACTGTGTCCAGTTTTGGGCCCCACGCTACAAGAAGGATGTGGAAAAACTGGAAAATGTCCAGCGGAGGGCAACAAAAATGATTAGGGGACTGGAACACATGAGTTATGTGGAGAGGCTGAGGGAACTAGGATTGTTTAGTCTGCAGAAGAGAAGAATGAGGGAGGTTTGATAGCTGCTTTCAACTACCTGAAGGGGGGTTCCAAAGAGGATGGATCTAGACTGTTCTCAGTGGTAGCTGATGACAGAACAAGGAGTAATGGTCTCAAGTTGCAGTGGGGGAGGTTTAGGTTGGATATTAGGAAAAACTTTTTCACTCGGAGGGTGATGAAACACTGGAATGCGTTACCTAGGGAGGTGGTGGAATCTCCTTCCTTAGATATTTTTAAGGTCAGGCTTGACAAAGCCCTGGCTGGGATGATTTAATTGGGGATTGGTCCTGCTTTGAGCAGGGGGTTGGACTAGATGACCTCCTGAGGTCCCTTCCAAACCCTGATATTCTATGATTCTATGATTTGACAATGTGAGAGATTCTGGGCAATGTGAATGTTCCTAGTATTCTGCGCTTTTAGCTAGCTGTGCCCCTATTTTGAGGGGGGGTGGGGGAAGAGGCTATGGGGCGTTTGCTCATAGTTAAGGGTGGTCTCACTGATATACTTGGTCCATGTGCTGCTTTTTATGCCAGCTTGGTTCTGCTCCTGGTATGGCACATTGAATCTTGGCAGGAAACTCTAGTGAACTCAGCTACACTAACTGGCCTGAGTGGCTGTGTACATATGGACCCATGGTGCCCGTGCTCCACCAATATTCAGAGCACGAGGGCCTGGCTCCACCAATGTTCAGGCCGGGCCTCTCCCCTGGCCCCGCCCCTGTGTGCTTCCCGCAGAGCGTCCCTCACCGGCTGCTGGCTGGCTCCTTCCACACTGCGCCCACCAGCGCCACTCCACCGCTCCGGCTACAAGGGAGTGGGGTGGGCTGAGGCGGCTGCTGATGCAGTCAGTGGAGGAAGGAGGCACATGAGACGTGATGGCAGCCCTCCCCCGGGCCCTGACCCTTCACCAGTCAGGCCACTCGCTGACAGGGAGCATCCTCTTCCTCCACCAGGGCCGGTGGAGAGAGGCCCTAGGAGCACATGCGGTGAGGTGCGGGGTGAGCGTGTTGTCAGCAGCAGCCCACCGACAGCTATTCTGGGCCCCAGGACAGATCAATCAAGGGACCCCCTGCCCGCCTCCCTCCGTCAGGGCCACAAGCCCCCCTGCCCAGAGAAGCCCCGAGTGCTGCCCTCCTCTCCCCCCCGCCAGAGGAGCCCTGGGCCTGCCACAGTCCCATCCCCCACCTGCCTGGAGGAGCCCCAGGGCAGCGACAGCTGGACTAGGTGACCAGATAGAAAGTGTGAAAAATCAGGACGGGGTGGGGAGTAATAGGTGCTTACATAAGGAAAAGCCGCCAAAATTGGGACTGTTCCTATAAAATCGGGGCATTTGGTCACCGTAAGCTGTGTCAACCTGCTCTGGGGAAAAGCTGCAGCATCTCTTGATTCAAAGACCCTTTTGATTCACCAAGGGCAAGTCATGCCCAACCAACCTGATTGCCTTCCATGATGAGATAACTGGCTCTGTGGATATGGGAAAGGGGTGGCCACGATATACCTTGATTTTGGAAAAGGTTTTGATACGGTCTCCCACAGTATTCTTGCCAGCAAGTTAAAAAAGTATGGATTGAATGAATGGACTATAAGGTGGATAGAAAACTGGCTAGATCGTCGGGCTCAACGGGTAGTGATCAATGGCTCCATGTCTAGTTGGCAGCCGGTATCAAGTGGAGTGCCCCAAGGGTTGGTCCTCGGGCCGGTTTTGTTCAACATCTTCATCAATGATCTGGATGATGGGATTAATTGCACCCTCAGCAAGTTGGCAGATGACACTAAACTGGGGGGAGAGGTAGATATGCTGGAGGGTAGGGATAGGGTCCAAAGTGACCTAGACAAATTAGAGGAATGGACCAAAAGAAATCTGATGAGGTTCAACATGGACAAGTGCAGAGTCTTGCACTTAGGATGGAAGAATCCCATGCACCGCTACAGGCTGGGGACTGACTGGCTAAGAGGCAGTTCAGCAAAAACGGACCTGGGGATTACAGTGGACGAGAAGCTGGATATGAGTCAGCAGAGTGCCCTTGTTGCCAAGAAGTCCAACGGCATATTGGGCTGTATTAGTAGGAGCATTGCCAGCAGATGGAGGGAAGTGATTATTCCCCTCTACTCTACACTGGTGAGGCCACACCTGGAGTATTGCGTCCCCTCACTACAAAAGGGATGTGGACAAACTGGAGAGAGTCCAGCGGAGGGCAACAAAAATGATTAGGGGGCTGGGGCACATGACGTATGAGGAGAGGCTGAGGGAACTGGGCTTATTTAGTCTACAGAAGAGAAGAGTGAGGGGGGATTTGATAGCAGCCTTCAACTACTTGAAGGGGGGTGCCAAGGAGGATGGAGGTCGGCTGTTCTCAGCCGTGGCAGATGACAGAACAAGAAGCAATGGTCTCAAGTTGCAGTGGGGGAGGTCTAGGCTGGATATTGGGAAACACTATTTTGCTAGGAGGGTGGTGAAGCACTGGAATGTGTTACCTAGGGAGGTGGTGGAATCTCCATCCTTAGCGGTTTTTAAGGCCTGGCTTGACAAAGTCTTGGGTGGGACGATTTAGTTGGGGATTGGCCCTGCTTTAAGCAGGGGGTTGGACTAGATACCTCCTGAGGTTTCCTCCAACCCTGATCTTCAATGATTCTATTTTCCATGCAGGTTTCGGGGTGGCTGAGGCAGTGGTATTTCCAACTCCGCTGCTCCAGAACCTGCACGGGGCATATCAAAGCATCTTTGAATTAAGAGACGCTTTTCCCCAGAACAGGAAGAGCTACCTTGGCAGCGGCCAGGGCCCCTGGACTCTTTTAAATCGCCCAGGCCCCTGGGCAATTGCCCCCTTTACCTCCCACACCCAATTGGCGGGCCTGGCTGGCGGGAAGAAGGGGAACCCTCCCCCAGAGTTCACTGCTGCCGGCGGGGAGAAGGCTGGGGGAGTCCTCCTCTGGCCCCAGCCCTGAGGCAGCCTGCCTGCACCCCAAACTCCTCACCCCCCTCACATTGTACAATATAGGGAATCTGTTTCCAGTCCATTTTTACATTATTTTTAAATATATATATCCGCTTACAAGGCAATGGAGGGGGGGCAGGACTTGGACCCGTTCTGGGCACCACCAAAAATTATACAAACTTGGCGCCCATGGCTGTGTCAAGGAGGCGGGGCACGCACCTCGAGTGCCTCTGAGCGGCAGGGTGCAGTTCCACACGCCGTTCTCACCCGGGTGCCCCACGAAGGCTCTGGCCCACCTCGGCTGGTATTCAGCAGCTTAGGCCCCTGGCCGAGTGAACCCTTCTCGGGGACTAAAGAGCCCGATAGAGAAACAGTCTATTTGCCATCACTCGCATCACCCAGACCCAGGCCCTTTAAATTCAGCTCTTTGTTCGGGCTCCCAAATAAGCCCTGTCCCGTTCTTGGGGTTGGCAGCACCCTGCCTGCGGCTGGTAGGGGAACCTGGGCCCGCTCGCGCCTCCGGGCTCCAGCCCGGGGACCCTGGGCACAGCCGCCGCGCTCGGCGATCTCCGTCCCTTGGCGACGATATCCCCGGGCCTCTTCCTGCCAGCCCTCTGCTCTCCAGACCAGCCTCCGCACCAGCCCCCCCGGCTCCTGCTCCCTCTGCCCGCCAGCCACGAGGGCGCCCGCCTCCCGCCTCCGAGAGCGCTGGCCCCTTCCGCCAGCCGGCACCGGCCTGCCCCCGCCAGCGGGGCCCGGATGGGCTGTTGCTAGCCCCTCTAGCCCTTGGAAGACCAGATCCCCGTGGTTTCCAAAATGGCTGCTCAGGAGAGTCCTCTCTAGGCACGCTTGGAGGACCCACCTTCACTGCTCTTTTCTCTCCACGTGCCGCTTTTTGGGGTTGAATGTAACAGGCCCGCAGGGATGCCATGACCCACAGGCCTCGAACCCGGGTCCACAGGAGCAGCCGTGCTGCAGCCCTCCACCTGCTGACCCAGGATCCATGAAGCCCAGCCCCAGTTTGAGGCTCCACCCCCGACACCCCATTGCCGTTTTAGGAAGCTGTCTGAACAAGGCTCTCGGCATCCCATGGATGCTGGGCAGGCTCCGTTTCCCTGTCCTCACAAAGAGATCTCTAGGGACCCTCAGGGCAACCACATCCCATCTCCTCATGGCACTGCCCCAGCAGAAACTCAGGCAAGGGGCGGTACAAAAACTCCTTCGGGGTGACGTGCATGCTGAGGGACAGGGAGAGGCTGTACGTGTCCTCGGCCCTTGCACAGGCTGTGCTGAGAGTAGAAAGGCTCCTTGTGCCCTCCTGTCCTGCACGTGTGGGCCAGGGGCAGGGACAGTCTGGCCATAAGTGTCTGGAGTTTTCTAAACTCTTTGACTCAGCGGGTGGGGTCTCAGCCCTACCAGTCAGCACAGGTGGGGAGAGGTGCAAAGCTGGCTCCAAGCCACTTTGGGAGCTTCCCAGTCATGAGGCCATTTTGTGCTGCATAAGTAGAGCGGCCTCGGGGCTGCTCTGTATTATAGTACTTGCCAGTGGCCTGCAGTATGCTGGGCCTGGGGAGAGAGTGTAGGATTTGCTACAGCAGCTTTATGCTAGCTGGGGATTTACCCACGCCAGGGGAACCCTCAGCCCCAGCTGTCTGTTTAGGTCAGGTCTGTGTCATGTGATGTAACTATGAAATCTTTGCAGACAAATGCACAAGGATTCTGTGTATTTGTACAAACAATAGGAAGTGGAGATCAGTGAGGGGGTCTGTTGTGCTTTGCTAGCTAATCCAGTCTTCTCTTTATGCACGTTTGCATCATAGTCACCACCCTCACTGCCTTGCTGCTCCAGGCATTTAATTGGTTTTCTCTTCTTAATACAAACCACAAACCAAGCCAAGATGAAGCCACTAGCTAATCATGTATTCTCTGGCTTGCTATTTTAGCCCGCAGCCATCAGATGGCAGTAGTAGAACTCTCCAACGATCACTAACCCTGTCTTACTAGGGCCTGGTCTACACCTAAAACGTAGGTCAACCTAGCTATGTCCTTCACCCCCTTGAGAAATGTAGTCAAGCCAACCTAAGCCCCAGTGTAGACACAATTAAGTCAATGGAGGAATTCTTACATCGACTGCTCTTGCCTCTTGAGGGGTGGATTCACTACAGCGATGCAAACCCCCCACCCGCCGTCGCTGTAGTAGGGGTCCACACGACCAGCAGCGTATCCCTGGAACGCTTTGGAAGAGGGCTGTAGAATATCTCTGTGACACTTCCCAGGGTCCCCAGGCACCACGCCACCCCCTGCCCTTAGCGGGAAGCAGTCTTGTCTGTGCCTACTGTGGTTCAGCTCCCTGAAACCACCAGCCTCTGTCCCCACAAACCTGGCTTCCAGTGCTCTGCAGGCCGCACTCTCTGCATGCAAGCTAACACTAGGTACACACCAAGCCGGGTCCTCAGAGCACTCCCTTCAGGGCCCAGCCTGTCAGCAGACACTCACAGTAATTACCAGGTAAGCTGTGCCCAAGTACACACAGCTTGACTGGAACAACTCAGGGTCAGACTCTTTATAACAGCACAGCACTGGAATCTGCTTATCGTGAAAACAACTATGAGTTTATTAACAAAGATTAAGGTTTAAGAGCTACTGAGAAAGGATAATGAGTGGAAAGAGAAGTGGTTCCACATATAACACAAAACAGAAAATGCAGACCTACATCTATTACTAATGGCATCATTCCTATTTTATAAAGTAGATTTTCTCCCAAGGATTCAGGTTTTGACAGAGCAGCTGGTTCTCAGTCAAAATTAGGATCCAAGTTTTCATTAATATCCCCATGCCCTACAAGAGGCTTTTTGCTTCTCCTCTCCACTAGATTTACAGCTTATTACAACAATCTCTAACCCATTAACCCCCCTTTTTGTCCTATGGCTGCACAGGCATTAACGGGGCCACTCTACCTTGACTGGTCCCTTCGACTATACGCTAAGTTCTCACGCTAAACAATGTGTTCCACTTGGCCTTTAGCTGTGACACTTGGAGTAACTTTCCCTGACCTGAAGAGGAGCTCTGTGTGACTCAAAAGCTTCTCTCTCTCCCCAACAAAAGTTGGTCCAATAAAAGATATTCCCACATCCACCCTGTCTCTCTAATATCCTGGGACCGACACGGCTACAACACCACTGCATACAAGGTTTTCTTTACTTTATCAAAACCTTCCTGACAAGCCTTTGCCCAAACAATTTTGTTTGGGTCTGGCTTTTTGCACAAGTCTGTGATTGCAGACACAATATTACTAAACCTACATGCCAATCTCTGGTAATAGTTAACCAAACCTATGAAAGACTGGACTTGATTTTTGTTCTGGAGTATGGGCCAGTTAACAAAGCTTCTACTTTCAAGGAGAAATTTGGCCACCCCCACACCCAGTATCCTACGTAAGGAACTTTGGCAGCTTCCATTTTGCACTTTGACACCTTTATAGTGAGACAGACGTCTTTGAGTTTTGTTAAGCATGGAATTACTATCCAGAGATTTGACAGTATAGTTTGCTTCATTTAAGATTTTTACTTCACTTGATTCTATGCTTTCTTTCACATATAGTGCCACTCCCCCACGACCTGTTCTGTCCTTCCAATATATTTTGTATCCTGGTATCACTGTGTCTCATTGATTATCCTCATTCCACCAAGTTTCTGTGGTACCTATTATATCACTATCCTCATTTAATACAAAGCACTCTCGTTCACTCAATCTTATTATTTAGACTTCTAGCATTTGTATAAAAGCACTTTAAAAATTTGTCACTTTTTAGCTGTCTGCCATAACATGATGTAAGTGAATGGGACTCTTTTTCATTTGACTGTTTCTCATCAGAGCCTACCCGTATTTTATCATCTTCCATCCTCTCCTCCTTACAAGGACATAGAGAATCTCCATTAATAGAACCTCCCCTAAGGGATGTCTCTGTCCGAACCTCATGCTCCTCCGCCCTTATCGGCTTTCCTCCAGCCCTTAGTTTAAAAACTGCTCTATGACCTTTTTAATTTTAAGTGCCAGAATTCTGGCTCCATTTTGGTGGAGCCCATCCTTCCTGTATAGGCTGCCCCTTTCCCAAAAGTTTCCCACAGTTCCCAAATGGTTTTTATGATATCACCACAAATTGCTACATATTGCAATATCAACAATATTAAGTCCATGCAAAGTCTTGTAATCTGTTTAACACTTGATTAATGAGCCTCTGCAAAGTGATTCCTGCATTAATGAACCCAAAAGGTAACACTTTGTACTCACAAAGTCCCATATCAGTAATGGAAAATACCTTTAGACAGCAAAGCATGGAGAAAATCTACTTTCAATAGCCTTTAACCAACCTAGGTATTTTGCCTTGCCTAAAGTATCTAACATATCGATTCTGGGCATAGGATAGTTGTCAGGTACTGTGACAGCATTAAGCTTTCTATAATCAACACAAAACCTTATAGTCCCAGCTCCCGTAGGAATCATAACAACTAGTGAGGCACAGGAACTGTCCAATTCTAATATATCTCCATTTCCAACATACTGTGTATTTCTTTACAAACCTGCTCCCTCATTTCTTCAGTGGTTTGGGAGGCTCTACTCGGGGCAGGCTGAGGTCCCAGTACCAATGAGAGACCACCTTCTGAGTCAACCTGGCATGCTAGAGACAGAGCCGGATTAACTTTTTGTGGGCCCGGCACCAAACATATTTGTGGGCCCCCATGTGGTTGTGATGGGCCCCTTCCAAGTGTGAGCCCAGCGTGACAGCACCATTGATGGCATAGTAAATGTGGTGTTGCCAGGATGGGAATGAAAACATTTATTCAAAAACAAAATAAGATATTTGAAGCCACACTGAGACCTCCACTCAGCCCATAGAGAACAAACTGGACTAACATCAGTGTACCCAGAACACCACTGAATTTGGTTTGTGTGGGAGGCGGGTTGTTTGTTAGTTTTGTCTTTTTTCTTTAAACACTCAGGGCCTGCTTGGGGCCCTGAACACAAGTGCTTAATTAGGACACTTATGAGCTATATTAAGCCTGGACGAAGCAGTAAGTGGTGTTACACCTGCATCTCCCCACCACCACCTCCTCATTCCAAAGTTATGTTTCATAAATACATTTTTTGAAAGCTGCATTTTCTACTTTGGTACAATAATGTTTACAAAACTTTGGGGCAGAGTGTGGGGAGGAAAATTGCTGGTGCCCATCTTTTGCAGGGAGAAAGGGCCACTGAGAGACACACACTTTACCACGAACGCCACCACAATCCAGGCTCAAGCTCCTACCCCAAACTTCACACCTGGCCACTCCCTCCCGTCCCTCCTACTGTCCCCATCCCACACAACTAACTCCCTAACAAAGGCTCTCCTCAATCTCCCTGCTACTGCCCCCCCACCCACTTTCACCCCAGGGCAGTCACCTCCCTCTCTTCTACTACCCCCCCCACACAAATACACTGAGCCAACCCCCACCTTCAAGCCACTCTCCCCTCCTTCCCTCTGCCCCTTGCCCCACCTTAACACCCTGCTTCTCCTACACCCTCCACACAGAGTCACCCCAGCTCCCCCATCGCACCCTGACTTGCCCCACAACTGCCCCTTTCCCCCAACACTGGGCTGCGCCCCCTTCCCTCCCCGGAGGGCAGGGGGATGTTTCTGGGCATTCCCATGGGCAGGGGGCATGGCAACCAGCACTGACAGGCCCCGTTGTCCCCGCTCCCCTGCTCCCAGGGACCCCAGACAACCCCCCCCCCCGGGGTCGAGACAGTGCCCAGGGGCTGCCCCCAGCTCCCCCCGCCCCAGGAGAGGAGGGGAGACTCGGGGGGGGGGAGCCAGGAGCTCCAAGGGGGAGGGGGTGCAGCGGGATGAGCGCCAGGAACCTCTCCCTGCACCAGGCCATCGCCTTGCGGGGGGTTTCTTTTTGGTCCGCTCTACCCACTTCCGCTGGGGCGGCTGGTAGCGTGGTGCGGGGCATGCTGGGACTCGTAGTGCAGCTGACCGCACAGGTCCCAGGGCCCGAGCGGAACACAGCGGCCAGCACACCCTGCAACACCCAGTCCCTGCTGCACCTGCGCACTGAACCTGAGGGGTTCGGCGGGCGCTGGGGAGTTGCTGGGCTGTGGCCCAGGCTGGATTAACCCTTTGTGGGCCCCTTCCCAGTGTGGGCCTGGCGCCCCGGCACCACCGGAACCACTGTAAACCCGGCACTGGCTCGAGAAGTCCTGCTTGTTTCTTTGCGGCACAGCCGACATGCCTGCCCTTTCCGTCTGTGTGAACTCTGCACGATCACACTGCTCTCTCCTGGGGAGCCCTTATGGCAGTCAGCCAACGGCTCGAGGCGGGTGCGCTCTCAGAACCCTCCTGCATGCAACACATCGTATTTACAATGGCTTCTCTGTCGGGAGAGGCTTTCAGCCCATTGACGTGTGTCATAAATTTAAAGGGAAGGGTAACCACCTTTCTGTGTACAGGGTTAAGAAGCTCAGCTAACCTGGCTGGCACCTGAGCCAAAATGACCAATGAAGGGACAAGAGACTTTCAAATCTGGAGGGGTGGGAATCAAAGGGTTCGTCTGTCTGTGTGATACCTTTGCCAGGAACAGATCAAGGATGCAAGCCCTCCAACTCCAGTAAAGTTAGTAAGTAATCTAGCCAGAAAATGCATTAGGTTTTCTTTGTTTTGGCTTGTGAAATTCGCTGTGCTGGAGGGAATGTATATTCCTGTTTTTGTGTCTTTTTGTAACTTGAGGTTTTGCTGAGAGGGATTCTCTATGTTCTGTAAAAAGAAAAGGAGTACTCCTTTTCTTTTTGCGAATACAGACTAACATGGCTGCTACTCTGAAACCTGTCTCTGTGTTCTGTGTTCACCTGTACAAATTGGTAAGGATTCTTATCAAGCCTTCCCCAGGAAAGGAGGTGTAGGGCTTGGGGGGATATTTTGGGGGAAGACGTCTCCAAGTGGGCTCTTTCCCTGTTCTTTGTTCAAAACACTTGGTGGTGGCAGCATAGGGTTCAAGGCAAAGTTTGTACCTTGGGGAAGTTTTTAATCTAAGCTGGTAAGAATATGCTTTGGGGGTCTTTCATGCAGGTCCCCACATCTGTACCCTAGAGTTCAGAGTGGGGAAGGAACCTTGACAAGTTCAGTGGACTGAAGAGTGTCAAAAGGCCTTTAACCAGCTTAAAGCGACACTCATGTCTCACCCAGTCCTAAGGGCCCCAGACTTTGACAATCTGTTCCTAGTAACCACAGATGTGTCTGAGCGTGGTGTGGGAGCAGTTTTAATGCAGGAAGGACCGGATCAAGAGTTCCATTCTGTCGTGTTTCTCAGGAAGAAACTATCAGAGAGGGAAAGCCTCTGGTCAATCAGTGAAAAGGAATGCTACACCATCGTCTACGCACTGGAAAAACTATGCCCATACGTTTGGGGACGGCGTTTCCACCTGCAAACAGACCATGGTGCGCTGAAGTGGCTTCACACCGTCAAGGACAATAACAAAAAACTCCTTCAATGGAGTTTAGCTCTCCAAGATTTTGATTTTGAAATACAGCACATTTCAGGAATGTCTAACAAAGTGGCTGATGCACTCTCCTGTGAAAGTTTCCCAGAATCAACTGGTTAAAATCATCCTTGAAATGTGGGAAATATTGTTAGTTTTTATATAGTCAGTAGTATATTTAGAGGTGTATGTGTCTTATTAACTCTGTTTTCTCCTAGAGCTCCAGGAAGAAATCACAGCCAGTGTGGAACCAGCTGTCCAACACTATCTGTGATTTGGGGGGGGGTGTCATAAATATAAAGGGAAGGGTATCCACCTTTCTGTATACAGTGCTATAAAATCCCTCTTGGCCAGAGGCAAAGTCCTTTTACCTGTAAAGGGTTAAGAAGCTCGGGTAACCTGGCTGGCACCTGACCCAAAATGACCAATGAGGGGACTAGATACTTTAAAATCTGGAGGGGGGGGGAGGCTTTTGTCTGTCTGTGTGATACCTTTGCCAGGAACAGATCAAGGATGCAAGCCTCGAACTCCGGTAAAGTTAGTAAGTAATCTAGCTAGAAAATGCGTTAGGTTTTCTTTGTTTTGGCTTGTGAAATTCGCTGTGCTGGAGGGAATGTATTGTCAAGGTTCCTTCCCCACTCTGAACTCTAGGGTACAGATGTGGGGACCTGCATGAAAACCCCCTAAGCTTTTTTTACCAGCTTAGGTTAAAACTTCCCCAAGGTACAAACTATTTTACCTTTTGCCCTTGGACTTTATCGCTGCCACCACCAAGCGTCTAACAAATATATAACCGGGAAAGAGCCCACTTGGAAATGTCTTTCCCCCCAAAATCCTCCCCAAACCCTACACCCCTTTCCTGGGGAAGGCTTGATAAAAATCCTCACCAATTTGTATAGGTGAACACAGACCCAAACCCTTGGATCTTAAGAACAATGAAAAAGCAATCAGGTTCTTAAAAGAAGAATTTTAATTGAAGAAAAAGTAAAAGAATCACCTCTGTAAAATCAGGATGGTAAATACCTTACAGGGTAATCAGATTCAAAACCTAGAGAATCCCTCTAGGCAAAACCTTAAGTTACAAAAAGACACAAAAACAGTAATATACATTCCATTCAGCACAGCTTATTTTCTCAGCCATTTAAACAAAACAGAATCTAACACATATCTAGCTAGATTACTTACTAAGTTCTAAGACTCCATTCCTTTTCTGTTCCCAGCAAAAGCATCACTCAGACAGAGAGAGCCTTTGTTTCTCCCCCCTCCAGTTTTGAAAATATCTTGTCTCCTCATTGGTCATTTTGGTCAGGTACCAGCGAGGTTATCCTAGCTTCTTAACCCTTTACAGGTGAAAGGGTTTTTCCTCTGGCCAGGAGGGATTTTAAAGGTGTTTACCCTTCCCTTTATATTTATAACATGTGTATTCCTGGGTTTGTGTCTTTTTGTAACTTAAGGATTTGCCTAGAGGGATTCTCTATGTTTTGAATCTGACTACCGGTAAGATTATCTTCCTTTCTGATCTTACAGAGTTGTTCTCTTATCTTTTTTGTTCTTGTAATAAAGTTCTGTTTTTTAAGAATCTGATTGGGTTTTTTGGGTGTTAAAAATCCAAGGCTGGTCTGTGCTCATCTTGTTTATTCTCAAGCCTCCCCAGGAAAGGGGGTGTAAAGGCTTGGGGGGGATACTTTCTTTGCATTTTGTCAAACCGGCTGTGAAATTGTTCTTAAAATGAACATGTGCTGGGTCATCATCTGAGACTGCTGTAACACGAAGTATATGGCAGAATGCAGGTAAAACAGAACAGGAGACAGACAATTCTCCCCCAAGGAGTTCAGTCACAAATTTAATTAACGCATTATTTTTTTAACAAGCATCATTAGCATGGAAGCATGTCCTCTGGAATGGTGGCCAAAGCATGAAGGGGCATATGAATGTTTAGCACATCTGGCACGTAAATACCTCGCAACGCCGGCTACAAAAGTGCCAGGCGAACACCTGTTCTCACTTTCAGGTGACATTGTAATTAAGAAGCAGGCAGCAGTATTTCCCATAAATGTAAACAAACTTGTTTGTCTGAGCAATTGGCTGAACAAGATGTAGGACTGAGTGGACTTGTAGGCTGTAAAGTTTTACACTGTTTTGTTTTTGAGTGCAGTTATGTAACAAAAAAATCTACATTTGTAAATTAAGCTTTTACAATAAAGAGATTGCGCCACAGTACCTGTATGAGGTGAATTGAATAATACTATTTCTTTTATCATTTTATAATGCAAATACAGTAACTCCCCACTTAACGTCCTCTCGCTTAACGTTGTTTCGATCTTACGTCCCTGCTCCATTACAGAATATGCTCTTTAAAGTTGTGCAATGCTCCCCTATAACATCCACTGCTTTGTCCACGGCTGGCAGCCCCCTACGTGCCTGCTATGTCCATGGCTGGCAGCCCCAACGTGCCCCCTCTTGCTCCCCCCAGCCTCCTGAATGCTGTAAGGAGGCAGGGGAGGGAGGGGGGAGGCTGCACACCCTGTCCTCACTCCTCCCCCCAGCCTCGTGAATGCCACAAGACAGTTGATTGCCGCGGGCAGGAGCGGGGGGAACAGGGGGAAGGCGCTGATCCATGGGTCCACCGGTGGGCGAAAGGAACTGGCAGGGGGGCGTAGGGGAGCTGATAGGGGGGCTGCCAGGCTGTTTAATACCTGTATTAAATTGCTTGTTTAAAATTGTTTAAATTGTGTATAATGCCTTTTGTCTGGCAAAAAAAAATTTCCCTGGAACCTGACCCCCCCTCCCCCCCATTTACATGAATTCTTATGGGGAAATTGGATTCGCTTAACATCGTTTCGCTTAAAGTCACATTTTTCAGGAACATAACTACAGCGTTAAGTGAGGAGTTTCTGTATTTGTAATAAAAATAATAATATAAAGTGAGCACTGTACACTTTGTATTCTGTGTTGTCATAGAAACCAATATGTTTGAAAATGTAGAAAAACATCCAAAAATATTTAATAAATTTCAGTTTGTATTCTATTGTTTAACAGTGCTATTAAGCACGATTAATGTTTGTTTAGTTAATCGCGTGAATTAACTGCGATTAATCAAGAGGCCTAGGTATAAGGTTTACAGCCTAAGTAGCGGTAGTTACTTAGTAAGTTAGGATAAGTGAGTAAACTAAAGTGACTATAAGTCACAAGATGGCATTAGAAGTGTTGCAAATGGCTGACAGGTAACCACAAGAAGACAGTTTGTACCAGTTTAGGGTATTTTTGGAGGGGAATATTAGCAGATGTTTAATTGCAAGTAACTATGGTAATCCAATTGATGTATATGTTAACGATCTTAACCTAATGAATACACTAATCTAGAGGATAAGGACACCCCAACAGTATGAGGGTGAGGAAGTGAAGATATGGTAAGGAGGGAAGAGCAATGTATACATCTGCGTGAGGGACATCGAGGCCTATAAAACATCTGGTCTCTAGTACAGCCTTTGGAGTTCTTCACTGGCAATGCTGTAGCCAGCCTAGGATCTGACTCAACCTCTAGAGCTCCCCAAGGATAGTGCGAGGACAGATGTGTAATGGTGTGGGTTGCTCTCACAGAGTTGTGTTACCTCACTTTACTTGTTTGGATTGTTTGATTTATTGGCCTGATCACTGTAAAAATAAAACTTTTAGTTACTTCCCTGAGCGTGACTGTTGTTGTGGCTGTGTCCCCCCGGGCTCCCTCAGCAGTAATTCTGATAACACTGGCCTTGATCTTAGGACAAGAGGCTACCAGATTACAGACTGTTAATTGGGGAAACCAAATTAATACCTTACTCAATAGATCAGGCAGCACGGGAATTGTGATCATACCTGTTATGGAGTGGAGCGTAGGGGGTCTGAGCTAGTGGGCAGAGCAGGCATCCAGGGTGGGGAATGAAACCAAGGGTCAGCACCGGAGTCTCCTGCCAGTTACCGGAGCCAGGCGTCAAGCCAGAGACAGAGTCAGAACTAGGACTCGCAACACATGACTGGAGGCGAGGGGTAAGGGCAGGAACTGGAGGAGAGGCAAGGATCAAGCACAGAGCAGGAGCATGGTGGGAACAGGAGCAAAGGAGGGGGTGAGGCAGAAACCAGGAGTGAAGCAGGAACAGGGTTGGGTGCGGGAGGCAGGCGCAAGCAGGGTCTGATGCAGCCACCACAGGAAACCACCGTGTTGCTCAGATAAACTTCCTGTGCCTCCTTCTGGCTTGGTTGCAAAAGGTAAGAGAGGCTTCTGGCACACCTGCAAGCTCTATTTGACCGTTAGGGCTAACCCAGGCTAAGTGGCTGGGGATCTCCTGCTTATGCCTAGAAATACCTTGCATCCCACCCCAGAATTCCAGCAGCACAGAGATCCTTAATTCCTTTGGTCTGTGGTTTTTATCCCCTTCCTGCCATGTGCTCATACTCAGTGGATGAGAGGGGTCCTCTTGCATGACTCATGTTCGGGGAGGTGAGCAGAACAACAATAAGAGTCTTTAGTCCTTTTGCTGATGGTTTCTCACTCCAGATGGAGGGAGTTTGCGGTTGTAACCCGCACCCCTAGCCTGTCTGGTATCGATGGCTCTCCGCTTTCGGGAGGGGCGTAACAATTTTTGCAGAAGAGCACTCTTCACGCTCATTAATGTCCCTCTCCTGCATGGCAATTCAGATAGTCACAGACGCTCACATGACACCCACTCCAATATTACATGACCACATGGAACACAGGTATTACAAGTGAGATTAATTCATGCAGCAACTGCCAACTCTCAATAGAGCCTATCACGAAACGCTCGATAATACCTGTTTTATCAGTATGAACCCACGAGTGAGCCAGGCAGATTCCTGCTCTGCATCTGTCAGTGTCCAGCTGAGACAGGGGGACCTTGGCATGAGCTGGCACCTGGCCTGCTGGTGTCACAGGTCTATCCAAGGTCACACAAGGAGCCTGTGGTAGAACCAGGAACTGAATCCAATCTCCTGAATCCCAGTGCAGTGCTCAAAACCATCAGCGTATGGATGGACAGCTGCCAGCACCTTTGCTGGGTGGTACCTGCTGGCGCACATCCAGTGACATTCCTGGAGTTGTGTTTTCTCACTCGCAGGATAATTACTTCAATTCCTCTAAAACACATTTGCTAAAAAGCATTTCTGTTCAAGTGCATGACTCATCCGTCCTCCTGCCTTGTGGAGGGGTTAAGGAAGGTTGTTTATATTAATTGAAGCCAGTTTGTTATTAAGTGGGAAAAAAAGTTTAGACCTTCTGTTTCTTGTCAGTATATCTGCACAATTGCAGGCCCAGGCAGGCCTCCCCTGGGAAAGGCAAAGCTCCTCTCCCTTGCACGAGGTCATGTATTCCTGCTGGGCTGAGGCAAGATTCTCTAGCAATTCTACCCGGCTCTGTGTTCAGAGGAGCGAGCAGGCTAGTACTGTGACAGCAGGGGGGAAGGGTGCTTGCTTTTTAGCTTCTAGTTTTATTAATTTGCACTCAGAGGCAATTTGTCACCAAGCAAAAATGTAATTAATGCTGGAGTTCAGGGGGATGCCTCATTTTCCTGGGCCTGATCCCGCACTTACTGTCGTCAGCGGGAGCTTTGCCAGAGAGCTCAAAGGGCGCAGGCTCCGGCCCCCCGGTGCCTTAGCAGTGTGTCCTTGTAAAATGTGCATACGCTCCTGTTGCACGTCCACAGGTGTGGCACATGCGGGACACAACACCTGCATTTTCTCTTGCAGGCA